TCCATTTCCCTCTCCTACCTCCTTAAAATCTACCTCGATGATCAATCTTTTTCTGAGCCATCCTTATGTCTTTGGCTCGGTTTCAAATGTTTTTTCCACAGATTATGGCTCTGTTCAATGCATCAAGATGTTTTGCTTTGTTAAAAGCACTATATTTGGACACAATTGTTGGTAAGTAAATAGTAAAAGGGGAAGATGTAATAAAACAGGTAATGCTTTTTGCCATAAATAGCATTTCCTCAACAACAGATGCTACAGTGGTGGTGGCAGAATTTTATACCTTAGGTGCCATAACTTTTGTGTCAAAATGTACTGCTATCTAATTATCTGATATAGACTTGGTACTGTATAATTTTATTTCTTACAATGACTTTAAATTAGCAGTTTTTCTAAGCTTCATGGTGTGTCAATGTAGTGTTTTATTTCTGATTATTTAGCAACATCAAGAGCATAAATGGATTGACCAATTATGTTCCATATATGATCCATTAGCACTAAAACCTGATTGTAAAGCCCTAACCAGAATTTGTAAGTCTGCATATAGCAGCTGATTTTGGAAGAATATTGATCAGTAGTTTGAAAATATCAGCTGTTATGATATATTAACTTTCTAAATGAGTAATTGCCATAACAATCTTTTTCCCCCCACTGGTTGCTTGATGGAGAATGAACACATTAACATGCGTAAAGAATTGTAATAAGGACCTCCTGTTAATTGACATCTACATTGACAAGAATGCGTAAATATTTCAGGTATGTAATTTAAGAATTCCATTTTTGTAAACAAGAAACCCCTATTCATTTTTAATCTTCTCCTTTAGTGCCTGTTAATATAGTAGAATTTTCAAACAGAAATTCCAGGCCCCAAAAAACGGTTTTGTAAAGCTAGGAAACAGAATGCTATGAGCTGAAAAAAAAAACGCCTTGAACATACACTCTCAACCAAAGAAATCCTGTTTCCATGGCAACATTGACGATTGAATTTTCAGCAGTGGGTAGCATTGCTTGAAACAAATATTGAAACTAACTAAAACAAAAATATTCATTTGTTTGAAGAAGTGAATTACAAAACAACATATGGAGAGAATTTTATGGTGGACCACGGTGATACGAGTTTGCGCCTTATCAATTTCCTTTCAAATGCCAAAACGAATCACTGATCTGGAGCGCAGGAAGATATCTTGAGAAGAAACTTAGAGATCTGTGTTACACACTAAAATTATATAATATCTTTCTGCTGGCTGGCAAGCTTCAAAAACCAGAGGCTAATGATTTAAAAATTGTATTTGACCAAAGCAGATAGTCACTAATTGTAATTTTTTTTGAGAATATATACATAATCAAAAAAAAACACAGTACTTGGTCATAACATTCCCAAGCACTTAAAATCAAATCAAATATTGGGCAATGTAAAACTGATAATATTTTGATGTACTCTAACATAACATTGGGTAGACTTGCTCTTCAATTGTCTGAAATCTGTGTAAAATCACAGAAATCACACAAAAATGCAGTCTACTTCAAAAAGATACATTCATTTTAAAACAGAATTGTTTTTTCCATACCAAAACTCAAGGTGAACTCCATACTATTTCAAGTAGTCAACTTCTTCAGACTAACAATATAAAGACTGCATTTAATCAGATAGTACCCCTTTGATTAACTTTTCCAAATTAAGTTTTATAATTGTGAACACCCTTGGCCAAATTTCCAGACAGAACTAGTACAGTAGGTACTGATTTATTCAAGAATAATTGTCCTGAAAAACAGAAATTTCCTTTTAAACACATTAATGTTTGTACAGCAAAAAAATATACAGTTAATAACGATTGACTGAATTTTAGTCAATAGATCTGAATAATTATAACATAATACTACAAATATGAAGTGAATTTTAATTCATTGATCATGAATGGAAAATGTAATAACTCTCAGGCTGACATTTTTGTCTCATTGGTGCATCCTGGCTATAAATCAATATTACTTCTGCATGATTTTGAAATGTATAGAAAATTTTATATTCCCAGATTGCTCACTAAAGGCATAAACGTTTGCAACAGTCCTCATGCAATAAAAATGTTCTAGCCTTTTAATTTCAATCTATAACCACTTGAAACTTATTTAATTTTACTTTGATGTGATATTGATTATGTCTTATGTTTGTGAGTGTGCTTAAATGTCACACTGAGTATTCTGCTCCCAAGTTGGATATTTTGGTCAATGATGACATGGGTTTGTAAGTTAGAAAACTATTTTTAGTTGATGACCTGATCACTCTCAACTACCACGATAAACTCTAGTTCTTTCCATTAGCAGATGGCTGACAAAACAGTTTATTTAAACATAGATATTGAAGCAGGTTCACAGCTTTTTCTTAAAAAAAGTGCTAGTTTTACATTTTAAAAAAGTTTCAGTGCCTTAAGGAACATCAAGATTTACAGTGCTCCTTTTGGAAGAAATAAATGAAATGAATTCAGGCTTTGTAAAGTTTAATTTTGGCAGCGACAGTGTACATGAATATTAACATTCCTTATTAGGGAAGAAAAAGTGTCTGTACCTAACATATTCTTATTTCTCTTATCACTATGAATCTATGTAACTTCTAATTAAATGAGTAATACTATCCCAATTTTATTTTGTTTCACAGAGTTTTCTCTCCACTCTTACATGCAGCAATTTATGCTGCAGTATGATTTCACAGACTCATCAGCCTGGTAGTAAATGATGCAAGTTGCTTTCTCCACTATTTAATCTCAGAAGGACCAAACTGACCATCCTAATCTAGACTGCAGTTAACACAGATATAACATCAGAAATTTCAAGATAGCAACTGGAAATAGAACATTCTCTCTTCCTTTCTAACTCATGAATGCTTAAGTACATTGTAGCATCCATACAACCAACTTAGTTCCAGCTAATTCAATACAGAAAGCTTGTTCTGTATATTCCAACACTTTAAACAGGCAGCGCACTTAACTGCTGGGCCATTTGAGGCATCTTGCTCCTTATATTTCAGATTGACTGAAACTAAATTTGTAGTCATGGTCGGATCTGTTGCTTTTAAGATGGAAATAAAATTGTGATTCCAATATTTTTTTAAAGCAGCAAAACATTTTCACAAATGCATATTCTATTCATTGTGTATCTTTTGAACAACTCATAGCATTTGCAGCATTAATCTTGGGAAGTAATTCCTCTGTTACCACATTTGCGATTTTTTCACAATGCTTTTTTTTAATAAGTCACCTTTATGAAAATGAAGCATGAGGATGTAACAGTACAAGTAATTACATAGGCAATTACTCAAAACATTTGCAGTCCTATGACGGATCTGGTCATGATGCCTTGAGGATTCTGTTTGATAGCAAACATGAATAAATTTGACTTCTTTTCCTGCAATAATGTGTTCTGGTTCTACAGAGGAATTCAATATTTCAAGTACTTTCATTTTGGGAACACATAAGCAAAAACAGTGTTTGTAATATTTTATATTATATAAGTACATGATAAATTAAGAGCTGTATCTTTGCCTTCAGGTAATCCCAATACTGTGGCATCCTATGGTGAATAAATATGCCTTTTGATAAATTGTTGCTACAACTTATGATGCCTAATACACTTCTCACACAGGATGACATGAAAGTGCCAGTCGTAAATCTGAGAGAGTATGGACAAGCAGCAGCACAAAGTGCCAGCAGCAAAACAAACCTGGAAGAGACTACTTAGGGAAGATGGGACAAAACCATGGAGAGACAGAATAGAGGAAAATCGATATCATCGGATTTAAAGGGGAATAATGAATGACCACAGTCAATTTAGTCTACATTTTAGTATTTTGTCAATGAAGCAGAAGAAGACATTGGAACGTTTCTTTTTTGCTTCAACTCATGCATAAGGGTGTTTATGTTCAGTAATCCTCACAAGCAAACAAAGTTTTTACAAACACAAATTTATGACCATATTAAAACATGGTCCAAGTTTGAAGTTACTAATGTTAATTCCGATTATCTACTGCAATGATCTATCTTTATATAATCGTACCGAAGATTAAACGTACAGAACTTTCCTTCTGGCCCCACATACATTTTCATTACTTCTTTTGGAGGCGTTTGACAAGAAACACACACCCACCAGTTATCCACCTCTTCAGCTGTTGCTGAAGATGGGTTATGCAGATCTGGACATATGTTACAGCATTTGACTGTCGTTTCCCGAGCGGCTCCAAAATTTGCTGATGTTTTTAAAAAAAAATAATTCAGTGAAACGATGTCATACTGATGGATACCTTGGGTTCTGGGAATAGCCCGCACGTTTTGTACATCTTTAGATTTCACCGGGCTGTCTGCACTTAACAGGCAAAAAAAAACCCCAACTTTGATGCCCATGTGGTTCGTGGTGCCACACCGTGCTCCCTTTACTGTGGAATAAATAGTGGCATTGAAGTATTTAATCCAGTTTCAACTCTCATCTGTTCACTCGTGAATTAAAATAAGTAAAGAAAAAAGAAATTACATAGCCCCCTGGTCCTTAATCCTCGGGTTACTTTACAGACATCTTGGAGGGGGGAGTAACAGACGTGAGCAAAGGCAGACTTCCCGAACAATTTAAATGTTAAATGGCCAAGAGCGCCTGGCTAAATCTTTTGGTGATAACTAGCTCCGGCACACAGTTAAAAGTCGCTGGTGTTTTTTGCCGCTGTAACTCTGGAGGGGCTTCACTTTGGGCGGGGGGGCAAGAAGCTTTTGCAAGTTGGACTAAGTTTGAGGAGCGCGGGAGAACCTTGCCCCGGAGGGAGGGAGAGAGAGGAGCTTCAGTGTCTCCTCACTGTTAGGATCTTTCAGGCATTCGACGCCTCTGTCGAAGATGCAGTCCCGCGTGTGTTGACTGGAGTGAGGAGTTGTTGTTGAGGTGCCTCTCAGGTGAGGAGTCAGTCTGAGGGAGAAGGTTGGGGCGGGGGGAAGAGGATGGTGAAAGAGGAGAGAGGTGCGCCTGTTACTCACCGCCGTCCCCGTAGGTCTCCACACCGTAGCCGTCCTGCAGCCCGTTGCTCCATGTGCCTTCATACCTGGCCGGGCTGCTCAGGCTCTGGCGGAGCCCGTATCTGCCCTTGAAGCCGTGTGTCCATTCGCCGCGGTAACACCAGCGACCCTTGGTCTCTACCCCGAGCCCGTGCCTCTTGCCCTGGGTCCAGTAGCCCTGGTAGGTGTTGCCGCTGGGCCAGGTGTAGACTCCCACCACCTCGAAGCCGTGAGCCCAGGAGCCGCTGTACTCGCCCTGGCCCTTCGGCCCGGTGCAGATGCCGTGGCCGTGGGCTTTCCCGTCCTCCCATCCGCCGCAGTAACTCCCGCCATCGTCGAAGTCAAACCTTCCTCCAGTCATGCATGAAGCGGTGCGGGGCGGATCGCACACGGACCGACAGTGGGCTCACAGCAGACAGAGAGGGAAGGATGAGGTTGGGGAAGGGTGGATGGGGATGGGGTTGGGGGGGAGGGGGGAAGGAGGAGGAATAGGGAAGGTAAGGAGGTAGAGAAGTTTGTTTGGTGGGGGGGTGGTGGTGGTGGTTGAGGGGGGGAAACCAGCTCTCGTGTGCCGGGGAAATTACACACACAAAAAAAAAGCAAAGTGCAGCAGCGTCTAACTGGAGAGACCGCCAGGGAGGCGGGTCCACTGCCTTTAACTGGAGAGCTGGGCCAGGGGAGGCGGGCTCATCCCTGACTGGAGAGAGACTCCGGAGAGAGGCGGGCACCGGGGACTCGTGGGGTGGGTGGGAGCACAGGAATTGCTGGGCACAGGAATCAGAGGGATGAGTGGGCAAGAGACGCTGGAGGGATAGGAGCTGGGGGCAATTGGGGAGGGAGTTGGATGACTGACTGACTGACTAGAACGTCGAGGTAGCGCAGGCGGCTCATGGAGAGAGAGATAATTTAGAGCAGGCATTGGCAGCGACTTGCAGCCTGTGCCCTGCAGAGACTGACAGGCAATCAGGCAGAGTGAGAGCTTGGCACAAGGGGATGGCCAGAGACAAGCCGGTGGGCATTCTGAAGAAGGGGCTGAGGGAGTCACTGATGTTAACTCTGTTTTCTCTCTCTCTCTCTCCACAGATAACTGCCAAAGCTGCTGAGTTCCACGCCTCCCAACCCAGCAACTTCTGTTTCAGTTTCGGATTTCCACAGTCCTTAATTTTGTTTAAGCAAGTCGAATAATGGGGACCGTCCTGGACTGTCCACGGATGCTGCCCCAGACCTGCTGAGTTTCTCCAGCAATTTCTTCAGTTATTTCAGATTTCCAGCATCCGCATATTTTATTTTGTTTTTTTTTAAGCAAGTAGGCATTGCTGCACAATGGGGACCATTCTGGAGTGACCTAGAGTCACGGTATTTGCAGGGGTGATGGGTACAGCATAGAAGGGAATAGTAATACTGACCTTGCAAGAGTAACCAGGACCAGTAAGTCCATTCTCGCAGACACGAAAATAGAGAGGACGGGGATGAAAAACGACTCTCAGAAAAGAACGAGTGAAAAACATAAAGATATAGGAAGCAACAGCAGAGAGAAAGAAATTAAAGGTGAGAATAGGGGCTAAAGAAGTTAAGCCGAATGGGTGAGCGACGGAAAAAAAGGAAATAAAGTCTTAAGAATCAAGACTGAAGAGCGATTTTGTGTTAAAATTGGAAAGCTACTGTTGAGAAATGTAAGATGGCGAGGAGCCAGTGAAACGAAAATGTTGGGGGCGGGGGGTATGGGGAATCAAACAGAGTTAAATGAATTGAAAATGTGAAAATAAAATGGTAGAGACAGGAAAAGAAAACTGAAGACACTGAAAAATCCATGCGGGAGTGAGTACAAAACGATCCATCCTAACAGTCCCGAAAGCGTTTAAAAAAAAAGTTTTTAAGATCCTGAAGGAGCAGTGACATTATATTTCAATCAACATAGTGACTTAGATGAAATGAGGGATCTAGTAAAGTTGAACAAATGTATCTAAAACTGTGGTTTCATTAAGATCTATTGGTGGAACAAACTTACATCAACCAATTACGCCCGTCTCCTTTTCACTTAACCACATTTTTCTTAGAAAATGACAATGCTGTGCAATCGCAAGATCGTTAGTGATGCGTTTTTGATGAACGTTTGGTACAAAGTGGCTTGTTTTGACTGCAAGAAGTCATTATTGATAATTCACATTGTTGGTTTGGGATAAATCAGAAATAAAAAGAACCTTATGTTTCATTGCAAACGCCTACATTCATAAACCTTTTAAAAATCGGAAACTTTAAAGGCATCAGGAACTTTGTGATGCGTTGGTTCCTTGCGACTGTTACGTTAAATTGCAGGAAGAAACGCCAATTATGCACACACACACACACACATAAGAACCTTGCTTTGATTTTTGACGGTCCTTAAGCCGAACACCAGATGTTTTTCAAAGGCAGTTAAACACTATAACTGGAATACATAATTGGAGAAAACGTGCGTCACGAGCTTCCCAAAATAGAAGGAAGAATTAATATGGTCATCGTTGCGAGGATGAGAGGAGACGTGTTCCTGAGATTGCATAAGTTCAGAGATAGTAGGAACTGCAGATGCTGGAGAATCTGAGATAAGGTGTAGAGCTGGATGAACACAGCAGGCCAAGCAGCATCAGAGGAGCAGGAAGGCTGACGTTTCGGGCCTAGATCCTTCTTCAGAAATGGGGCATCCTTAGAAGAGGCTTCGCAGTGGGGTTAGAAGGGTCTAGGCCCGAAACGTCAGCCTTCCTGCTCCTCTGATGCTGCTTGGCCTGCTGTGTTCATCCAGCTCTACACCTTGTATACCTTGCATAAGTTCATGTGGGGATGCCTGGAAAGGAGTCTCAATGGGACTTGCTTAACTTGCCAGGGAGCTGACCAGCAGGATCAGTCCTTCGTCAACCCGCATCCTGAACATCTCCTGTCAGGGAAGTATTTATGCCTAAACCACAGCAGCGGGAGGAAAAGGTGTACTGTGTACTCTGCGTCAATCACGCGTGTAGCTAAATGGAGGAAATAGACTCCTGTCACATCAGTCACTTTAGGTGATAATTTAACCTGCGCCGATATGATTTTATCGATCTGCCCTGAAATTAAATATTTAAGTGCGATTCTGGAAATGACTGCAAGTCAAATGTAAACAAAAGCTTTTAGATACAATCACAAACTGCAGGACCACGATTCAAATAAATTATAACCTACAGCTGATGTCAATACGCTTAGTGCTCCAAAATAATAGACTACTGAGCTTATTTTTAAAAATAATAACTGTTATATAACATCTTAATTATATGTGTAAATCTTCATTTTTGTAAATTGTAAGCTTTCAGGAAAAAAAACAACTTACACTTGATTACCAGAATGTAATTGCAGTTCATATATACAAACTGTATACAATACAGAATGCATCAAATACTTGGCACCTTACATGGGACAACTATTTTCTTTACAGTTCTATCATTTTATGTCTAACACGCACTATGTTTAGGTATGCGGAAATGGTCTAGTGCTGTGCTACATCCATAAATAAATTTGACAAGCTTCTAGATATTTTCTAACTAACCTGTTCAGGGATGTTATGACACACCTGTGGAGCAGGTGAGACTTGAATTCAGGCATCCTGGCTGAAAGAGATAACAAGGTGCAGAGCTGGATGAACACAGCAGGCCAAGCAGCATCAGAGGAGCAGGAAAGCTGACGTTTCGGGCCTAGACTCTTCTTCAGAAATGGGGGATTCTGAAATAAATAGGGATAGAGGAGGAGGCGGATAGAAGATGGATAAAAGAGAAGATAGGTGGAGAGGAGACAGACAGGCCCAAGAGGCGGGGATGCAGCCAGTAAAGGTGAGTGTAGGTGGGGAGTTAGGGAGGGGATAGGTGAGTCCAGGAAGGATGGACAGGTCAAGGGGGCGGGATGAGGCTAGTAGGTAGGAGATGGGGGTGGGGCTTGAGGTGGGAGGAGGGGATAGGTGGGAGGAAGGACAGGTTAAGGAGGTGGGGATGAGCTGGGCTGGTTTTGGGATGCAGTCGGGGGAGGGGAGATTTTGAAGCTTGTGAAGTCCACGTTGATACTATTGGGCTGCAGGGTTCCCAAGCGAAATATGAGTTGCTGTTCCTGCAACCTTTGGGTGGCATCGTTGTGGCAATGCAGGAGGCCCAGGATGGACATGTCATCTAAGGAGTGGGAGGGGGAGTTGAAATGGTTCGCGACTGGGAGGTGCAATTGTTTAGTGCGAACGGAGCGTAGGTGTTCAGCAAAACGGTCCCCAAGCCTCCGCTTGGTTTCCCTGATGTAGAAGAGGCCATATCTGGAACAGCAGATACGGTATACCACATTAGCAGATGTGCAGGTGAACAGCTGCTTGATGTGGAAGGTCTTCTTGGGGCCTGGGATGGGGGTGAGGGGGGAGGTGTAGGGGCAGGTGTAGCACTTCCTGCAGTTGCAGGGAAAGGTGCCGAGTGTGGTGGGGCTGGAGGGGAGTGTGGAGCGGACAAGGGAGTCATGGAGAGAGTGGTCCCTCCGGGAGGCTTGGGGGGGTGTGTGTGTGTGTGTGTGTTTGGTGATGGGTTCGGAATGCACATGGCGGAAGTGTCAGAGGATGATGCGTTGGATCCAGAGGTTGGTGGGGTGGTACGTGAGGACGAGGGGGATTCTGTTTTGGTTGTTATTGCGGGAAGGGGGTGTAAGGGATGAGTTGCGGGAAATGCGGGAGACATGTCGAGGGCGTTCTCGACCACTGAGGGGGGGAAGTTGCGGTCCTTGAAAAACGAGGGCATCTGAGATATTCGGGAGTGGAATGCCGAAGGAGGAGGCGAAGGAATTGGGAATAGGGGATGGCATTTTTGCAGGAAGGTGGGTGGGAGGAGGTGTATTCTAGGAAGCTGTGGGAGTTGGTAGGCTTGAAATGGATATCAGTTTCCAGGTGGTTGCCAGAGATGGAAACAGAGAGGTCCAGGAAGGAGAGAGAGGTATCAGAGATGGTCCAGGTGAACTAAAGGTTGGGGTGGAAGGTGTTAGTGAAGCGGATGAACTGTTCAAGCTCCTTGTGGGAGCACGAGGCAGCGCTGATACAGTCAACGATGTAACGGAGGAAGAGGTGAGGTTTAGGGCCAGTGTAGCTACAGAAGAGGGATTGTTCCACGTATCCTACAAAGAGGCAGGCATAGCTTGGGCCCATGCGGGTACCCATGGCCGCCCCCTTTGTCTGTAGGAAGTGGGAGGAATTGAAAGAGAAGTTGTTAAGGGTGAGGACGAGTTCAGCTAAGCGGATGAGGGTGTCAATGGAGGGGGACTGGTCGGGCCTGCGGGACAGGAAGAAGCGGTGGACCTTTAGGCCATCTGCATGGGGAATGCAAGTGTATAGGGACTGGACGTCCATGGTAAAGATGAGGTGTTAGGGACCGGGGAATCGGAAGTTTTGGAGGAGGTGGAGGGTATGGGTGCTGTCATGGACGTAGGTGGGGAGTTGCTGGACCAAGGGGGAGAAAATGGAGTCGAGATAAGTGGAGATAAGTTCGGTGGGGCAGGAGCAGGCGGAGACAATGGATCAACCAGGGCAGTCAGGTTTGTGGATTTTGGGAAGGAGATAGAAACGGGCGGTGCGGGGTTGGGGAATGATGAGGTTGGAGGCTGTGGGTGGGAGGTCA